ACTAGCCTTGCTGGAGATGCTCAGTGGCTGTTCGGTTTAAAACGCAATCTACCCCGTGAGCCTCTGTTTGGTTTGTAAGAAAACGAAGGAATTTTTTTTTTGAAGAGCAATCAAACAGGTATGCCTCCTCTGATTATTTCTGAAACCCTAAACCCTCTTTTAAAACTCTCTTCTTCCCATTTTTTACTCTCTGTGTATATTTCTGAAATCCTCCTCTTCTAAAACTATACTCTCTGATTTTTACCCTATTTCTGTCTCTAGTGCTATCTGAATTTCTATTCCAGTCTTTCTTGGCTCACACTGATTCGAAATTTGCAGTGAAGCAAGGCTTGGTAATGATTTTGTTCTATTTTGCTGTTTATATATCTGGTTGACATTCTTAATAAATAATCCATTTTTACATTAATTAATATAGTATTTTGTAACCATATTGTTGGTTCCATGACTTGTTCTTGAGTTGTTGCAAAATATTTCATAAGAAATTTGGCATTAAAATTATAGGTCTAATTTTGTTATTTGAATTTTGATTGCATTTAAGATGTTTGTAAAAATGCCTAGTTTGTTAGCAATTTAAACAAATGTATTTTGGAACTATATTTTCATTGCATTTAGATGCTGAAAACGTGTGATTGACTTTAACATGATTGACTTAAACATGTTCTCTGAAGATTCCCAAAATATATTGAGTGATATTCACATGAAGCAACTATAACTTGTGGTTGGGACCTCCCAATTTGTAAGTGTTTTTGGTAATGTTTAGTACTTCTTGTTCTAGTTGAATTAAATAGCCATCTCAAGTAAAATCATTGTTTAATTGGTTTTTAAAAACATACATACATACATATATATATATATATATAATATATAAGCGAACGTAGTTCACATAGAATAGAAATACTTCTAAAAATGCTAATCAAATAGTGCTTGAACTTCACTTGTATCCTTGTTTAAGCATGAGCAGTTGACAAGATAATGGGGAAAAGACTCCAACCAACAAAAAAGTGTGAAAAGCTAAAAAGAATTGAAGTATATTATTTTAATCTTAGCTAAAATGCAGTCAACATGCTTATGTTAAATAAAATGAATTTCCTCTGTTATACGATTTTAATTTAATTTTTAATCCACATGAAGCTTATGTTTAATAAAATAAATTTCCTCTGCATACTTTTTTCGAAGTGTATTGATGCTAAGATAATCCATGAATTACTATCTTCCCTCTAAGCGTGGAGGCTTTCCTAGCAACCATGAAAGATTAGTGTCGAACTTTAGGTTTGAAGTAGTGGAAAGTGTGAAAAAGGGAAAATTTTGAATTTTTTTTTTCCTTTGTTGTTTAGCATGATAAATGATAGGGTCGTGCTGTAGTGTGGCAACGCTTTAAGGGTTGCACACCATATGCACCTTTATTATTGGCCATCGGATTACACAAGTTGATCCTGGATGAAGAGTCGGTGGGTCATTTTCTTATCCATTATGAAGTTGCTCGGGTGCTGCTATGGGCTTTGCTCCTCATTATGATTGGTATGGAATGGGTATTCCCTCAAAGGGTGGGGGAGGTTGTCGTGGAGGGGAGCTCGTGTGGGTAAAAGGAGGAGGAAGGTGTGGTGTTTGGGCCCTTTGGTAATTTTGTAGTTAGTGTGGTCCGAGAGGAATATGAGGACTTTTGATGGAAAGGAGAAGCCAATTTCAAAGTTAAAGAATTCATTATTGTCTTGTCTTGTTAGTGTATTGGTTTTTGGGAAAGATCAATCCTTCTTGAATCAATATTTAGAAAATTTTGAATGCTTCTAATGTATAGTTGAGATACGTTTTCTTTGTATAAGGGCTGCATCCCTTGGTGCCTAAAAAAAGTGCATACCATATTTGCTGGTAGCAAATGCATTTCCTATAATAGAACGTTTTTGGGTTTCCTTATTTTGACTTAACGATTATTGTTCTATGCTAAATCGCTACTGTGATGTCATGCACTTGTTACTTAATGTTGCATACATGCAGATCTAAAATTTCCATCAAACTGAAACGTATTCTTCTATAAATATGCTAATAAATGCTTGGCATTATTTTCAGGCTCGTAGCTTGCAGTCAAACAAGTTGGGGCTCCATTTTTGCCCCGAGGATCCGTACTCACACCCTGCTTTTGGGGAGCTTCAACCCTGTAACATTTTCTTTTGAAGATAACAAAAAAGCTGTTTGGAATGGCCAAGATGCTGAGAACACTGACAGGGTTACAACTGTTTGTCAGAAGATGAAATTCATCTGAATCAAAAGAGTTGTACTGATCAGTAAAAAATGATCAACACGTGGATGAATGTCAAATTGATTCAATTACTGCACCAACAGAAGTCAAAGCACAGTTGCCAGAAGAAGTGCAAGAAGATCTTTCTGCTGATATTGTTGCTAGAGTCTCAGAGGCTTATTATTTTAATGGTTAGAAAGTACTTTGTGTTATTTTGCAGTCTAGTTTCTTACTTTTTTTCCTTCCATTTGTCCTCACCATGTTCTCACTTTTTTCTTTTTCTTTTTTTGGTTTCATTTCTTCACGTGCTTTTTATTAAAAAAGGAATGGTAGATTACCAGCATATTGTTGCTGTTCATGCTGGCGGATGTTGTCAGAGAAAGAAGAGAAACTGGGCAGATATGGAACCACAATTTGGTTAGCCCTCAACATTCATGGTTTATACAATTTGGAAATGAAAATGAACCGTTATACTTAGTTTATGCAAATTTATTTTCTTATGCATGCTACTTTGTAGAGAAGTGTGGTCTTATGGATGTGGATCAGAAGGATTTGATGATTCTAGTGCCTCCGCTCTTCTCAATAAAGGACGTGCCAGAGAAAGTAGTGTAAGATCCTTCAGTTTGTTTTGTATTCTTCTGTTGGACACTTGGTTATCTAAATATAAAGTCTTAAATTTAATTGAAAGATGGTTAATATTAGAAGTTGACCATTTTCAGCTTTCAATTTCCTTACACGGAATCATGCCCATTGTTTTGAATTTCAAAATATATGATCACTTGGGAATTTCATACTTGATAATTCAAAATCATGGATCAAATACGACCATCCTTTGAATTTGATTTGATCTAGATTGATTGTCTTTTAGGTTAAAACAACAGTAAGTCTTAGCTCAAAGAAAAAACAAAGGGGAGTTGTACAACACCGTTGGGAGGTTTTTTTTTTTCCCTGCTGCCCAAGTAAAGAATTCTTTTAGTTGTGTTGGGAGCTCCCAATTTGTAAGTTAAGGCAAATAGTTATTCCAAGTGCTTTTGGTAATTGTAGTACTTATTGTTCTACTTGAATTAAATAGCCATCTGAATTAAAAGTAAAATGATCAGGACAAATGGCGGAATATGGGTATTAGTACTGCTGCACACAGTTCTAAAGAAAAAATACGAATTCCTAGAGTAAAAGCTATTACCGCTGGCCCACTCACCAATGGTCAAAATTCTGCTTCTGCTTCACTTATTGATGATGACAAGGATGGGAAAACTGCTCCACGGTGCGCTTTTCTTTTCGTTCTCTTTTGTGAATATAGAATTAATCTCATGGCGTTGCTCTGATTGGTGAGAGAAACTTTTATGTGCATAAATCTTCTATTTCTATTGATATGTTTATTCTGCGCCTCCACTCAGCTGTGGGGAAAATAACTAATACAAAAGGATAAATAAGAATTAGGCAACAGAAACAGGAAACACTGTTACTAGATGATAACTTGATCGTTTTTGTGGTTAGATACACATCTCACTCTCTATAGATCATTAGCATGCTAGTACTACTCCCTTTATTCTTTTTCTTTCTTTCCTCTTGTTAGAGAAGAGCCAAGTGCTCGTTAAAACTATCTCATTCTTTGTGGAATGTAGCATATATGCTCATACCTGTGTCTCATGGACTCTTCTGTTTCCTATGAGGTCCTTGTGTGGACATGAGATACAATGGGTCCTTGTGTAAATATTTTATTCACGCAGCTGCTGCTATTTGTTATGTTCTATATGTGCATCCACAAATTCTTATGGTGGGTTCAAATTTCATAGATGGATGCATCTTGATCCCTGTGAAGGAATATACGACAATCCTTTGCTATATGAGAAAGGGTACTTTCACCTACACATAATCTATATAGTTTTGGAATTGTTTTTTTCATCCTGATGCTTCATAGTTGAATCAACTTTTTGACTTTCATCTATATTGTTTGCAAATGTTTTTTTTCTTTGAAGGTGGAAAAAGAATTTGAATTATGTAATTGCTTTTGCAAAAGATGGAGTGTATGACGTCACTAAACGTTACAGCAGAAAGTGGCATGAGGTAGTCTTATAAATTTTTTAATGATCACTTCACATTAAAAAATATGCGAATATGTGAGTTTTGACTGCGCAATAATATTTTCATGTTAAAGGTTCTGTCTCGGAGAAACATTACTACGGATCCCATCCTGTCTATTATTCTCTCGAACATAAGAAGAGAATGCCGACAGAGTTTTGCATCTCAAGTGATTTCTGCCCTAGAGGATCAAGACAGGAATGAAGCTGAAGCACTTGAGAGAGAGTTGCACTCTAAAGATGATGCTTCAATCTCGTTACCTGGAAGACAAAGTGGTGACAAGGAATGGCGCATGTCAAGATCAGAATTTGGTTCTGACGAGATTTGCTTTCCAAGTTCTTCTTGTTGTCCAGCCCGTAAATGCATTGATGAGCATGTGACAAAGATCTACAATGCATTTTGTCCAATCATTTCTCAGTTTGTCGAGAAATCTTGTTCTAAATCTAGAGCTGTTGAAGTCCTACTGTTTTTTAAACAAATGTTAATCAATCTCAAGAATTCCCCTTTTAGAACGAGGAGAACTTCTATAAACCCTGTTTCAAATGGTGCACAGCATCTTTTCCTTCAGATGCTGCCTTCTTTTGATCAATTGTTTGATGCCCTTTCCCTGAATAGTGAGCTAGATGCCAGTGGAAGGGTTGACATTTATTTGGCTGCTGATCCTGTTAGAACCTCCATAGCATTGCCTGTTTTGTTCCATGCTCTGGATGATGTGATCCATAATGTCAATATGTGCAACAACTTCAATAAAAATTCTCTTTCTTGGCCACTTCAAAAATTAAACAGAATATACTCCGGTTTGGTCCTTGCTAGTGGGGAGGAGCTTTCTTTTGGAATTGTAAGTTGCATTGACCAGTTCATGCTATTAGTTCAATTTTATTGATAATTAATATATGACACGTGTCTTGTGGATTTCTTTATGATCCCATTGTTGATAATGAAATTCTTTTAAAGGCATTGCTGTCAACCAATTTCAGGTCACATCTGCATTTGACGGAACTCGAATGTCAAAGTGGGAAGAACCAAATGGTGCCAGAGGTACTCTGAACCGAATAACATGTTTTATCTCTTATGAGTCATAAATATGCCATGTAACAAAAGAGGGTGGAAATTGAAAATGAATATATATTTGTGTATATATATCATATGTGATAATATTTAAGAAAGCTAGTTTTCGCACTATGTCTAGCAATATACTACCTGAGTACACTATCATATTCAGTAGGCTAGCAACGTAATGCCAGAGGTCAAGGAAAATCTATTGGCTTTCCTCATGATTGTTGATCTGGACTGCATAGGAGGCTGCCATGCACATCATATTATGATTGTTTTGGGAAAGATATAGAGAAAGGAAAAGAAATACAAATAGGAAGGATCTTTAAACATTCTTGTTTAACATGGTAGCTCATTTTCTGGCCATACTTTCTAAGCATCCAACCTTGAAATTTCAACACTCGGATGCAAAAAACATGATAATCAACAAACATGTCTTCTGAACCTCATTTCCACCTTAGTTCTTATACTCACTGGCTACTATTATCAAGTAAACTCTTCTGCTCATCCTTTAGGAATCTTCAATGTTGTCATCAAATTACCTGCCACATGCAATCAAAAGGCAACTTGTCATGATTAGCAATGCCTCTATCTTTTCATACCTTGATTTCTCTTTTGTAAGACCTCCATTTGATATAACTCTTTGTTTCTTATGCAGGTGAAGGTTGTTTGAGTCACCAAGAGGGTACATGAAGCATATTTTGCTCAGTTATACCTCACAAAGGCATATTCCTGTTACAAGCCTGTATTTTGTTTGACTAATATTTTCCATAGAACTTGCTTTAATAGTAATATTTAACTGATAAAGTTTTGTTTTTTTTTAAAAAAATCTCAGTTGGGTAATGAAACGGAGAGTGTTAGCTTTGATCTTCGACCTTCGGATGCCATTAACATTGCAGTAATATGCAAGGTACTTTTGCTCATTTTGAAGATTGTAACTGCTTTGGTGGATTTTAGTGGTTGTTTATCATCATGTAGTCCTCTTATCTAACATAGTTATAATCACTGCTCTCTTACTAGATAGCATTATATAATGCTGTTGGATAAACATAAGTTTTTAAAAAGGCTTCATTTACAGTTTTATGCGTTTGGCACCTGAACAAACTTGAGCATTCTGTATCTAATGCTGCCGGTCTATGCATTGATATCCATGTTGTCTTCTTTTTCCATATCTTTGTCAGCATTGTTAACAATTCTTGAAATGATCTTTTATATAATTTTTACTGGTGTTTTTCTTGAAATAAATATTGTTAGTGTACTAGTGCCGGACTTGTTTCGTGGGAATCCATGGGCAAAGGACAGACCAAAGACTTTATTTGAAGAATGGCTGGCACAACAAACCCCGGAAAGGATTGCAAAAGATATAACCTCGAAAAAATAGATGATGGATGAGTTTGTAGTGCAGGAATCTAAGACTTTATTTGAAGAATGGCTGGCACAACAAACCCCGGAAAGGATTGCAAAAGATATAACCTCGAAAAAATAGATGATGAATGAGTTTGTAGCTGCAGGAATCTCAAAGAAGCTTGGTATCATTGGATTCTGCTTTGGAGGTGGCCAACTAATAGATGCGCTCGCCCAGGACGGGGGTGCCTGTTTTGGCATTGGGGTTTCATTCGATGGCACAAGAATTGACCCATCTGTCGTTGCTAATATAAAGGTGCTTGTATTGTTCATTGTGGGTGACAATGATCCGAGTTGTCCGGTCAGTGCCTTGGTATATGATTTTTTGAATGTGAATTTTGATGTAGATGTGGATGTATTGTATTTTAAAAAATATTAATAATTCGTACCGGGAATGAATTAATAGATGTGGATGTATTGTATTTTGATGTAGATGTGAATTTTATTTTTGCATATGGCTTTTGGTGTGGAAAAGTGGATATTCTTTATTTTTGTGCGGAGGACATTGTTTTTTTTTATAATCTATTATTATGTTGTCGTTTGTTTTTTTTTTTGGATTACCGTTGTTCATACAGATAACTACTGGCATGGTACAAATTGCTTTTGGCATATAACATATTACTTTTGACATGGTATAGATTACCATTTGACATGGTATTGTGGATATTTCTTTTTTCGTGTACGGCAAACATGATTTTTGTATAATTCTCTGTTTTGTATAGAATTATTATTTTAGGTTGGATTATGCTTGATTCATATGGAATTTTTATTATATTTCGAATTCGACGTTAAAAGTTTAATTTTCTTGGATTGTTATTATTTTCGTTATATACAAGGTACAGGTTGCACAGAATAAATACAGGTTGTGGCGAAATCAATATATATATGTATAAAAATAAAAATAAAAACTAAAGAAAGTTTTTTACGATTAAACATGCAGTAACTAAAAAGAAGTGAAGTTGTTGGCGACTAACCAATTCGTAGCCAAAAGGGAATAAAGGCTTCTTCGCGATTAAATATTTGGTAGCCAAAATAAAGAAAATATTTTTGGTGTCTAAATAATTTGTAGTAAAAAAAAAAAATAAGATGAAAAATAAATTTTATTTAGTAACTAAATATTTAGTAGCCCAAAAAATTTGAAGTGTTTGTCTACTACAAATTTAATCATCAAAAAAAATATCGATATTTTTTACGACTAAACATTTAGTCACCAAAAAAGCTACAATCTTTTGCCTACAAAAAAGTTTGGTTGCTAGCTAAAGGAGTCAATTAGATGTTTGGCTTTTGTCACCGATAATGGAACAAAGAATTGGCGACTATATATTTTAATCACTAAATAAAACATAGTAGTGATAAAATTTATCTACGACTAAACATTTAGTTGATAAAAGTTCAAAATAAATTTATAAAAAAAATTATGGCAACTAAATTATTAGTCGACGAATGGTATTTTTTGGCTACTAAAATAATTTTAGTTGACTAAAAATGATTTTTAACGATTAAAAATTTAGTTTTCAAATGTGCAATTTCTTATAGTGTGTAACTAGTTTGAAGATAATTCATAGTGTGAAGATAATTCTAAATAATAATTTTTATATTTTTTGCAAAGTATATATTATTTAAAATTTATTATCATAATTTTGCGGTGTTGGTGTAAGAGGCGGTACCCTTTGTTCAATCCATTCAAATCCAATTATACTTGAGTTTGAGTTTGTAAGATAAAATTCATTTAAATTACGACGAATTTCTCACATAAAATTACATAATTGTTTAATGCTAACTGAATTTGTAAATATTTATACACAAGTATCAACATACATCATTATAACCTCACAATTGCTACAATCATCACTAATATTGCTGCAACCATCATTACCGTCACTGTCACTGTCAGCACCACCACCACCACCACCACCACCACCATTATGAAGCCACCATTGTTATTACTACCACCTTTATTATCCTTGTCATCGTTATCATAAAACATACCATCATTTCAAGTAGTGAAATTTCATTATCTTCAAATAGTGAAATTTAACCTTAATATTTAGGTGAAATTATTAAAAAAGTGAAATTTCTACTAAAGAAATAAAAATTACAAAATTAAAGGCAAATATGAACTAGCGAGTAAATAGAAAACTTACGAGTTGAAGAGAGATGTCATCAATGGAGTCGTTGGCAAAAAAGTAATTGTCACTATCATTTAAATTAGCTAACGATAATTTAATTTTCTTAATTAATTTGTTGTCTAATTAATCATATAATGTGTGTAATTACCAAAACTTTATGTTAATTTGAAATTCCCTCTCAAAATTTGGGACCCTCCAAGTTTTGCCCCTAATCCCTCATACGTTTCTCATGTCTCTTTCTCTTACTCTCTCTCACACGACTACTTCTCATTCTTTCTCCCTCACGGACGATTTTGTTGCTTCATTCCACCGTTGTACTGCCCGAAATCCAAAGTCGACACCGCCGATTCACGAACTTAGAGTATTTCATTCTGACCAGGTAAGTTGATTTATGTTTATTTCTCTACATCTTATTCTGTGACCTAATTTCTCACAAATCGACTCCCTCTCTTAGCAATCTCTACCTCACACACCTTCACCACCCTGTAATCACTACGGCACCATGCCACCGTTGGCACCGTCTCTCTGAATACAGCGGAACCCCATTCCGTCGCCATAGTCCCCACATTCGCACGACCCATCGCTACCATCAGCTAATCCTACCGGTAAACCCGCTTTCCATTGCTTTTGTTGTCCATCTTCATCCTCTCTTGCTTCCTGCCATCGTGCCCTAATATCTTCCTCCTGCTTTCTTAGCCACCATATTTCGTTCTGAGCATATGTTAATTTTCATCTTTGGTAATTCGGAGAGTATTTTGTGTTGGTACTTCACATTTATGTTTCTTTGATCAATTGCAAATATATGTTTCTGTGTTCTCCTTGCTCACCAAGCTCTCTCTGGACCTATCGACCCACTATAAGAAAATGCACTTTTAGCGACCAGTTTCTCTCTCTCGCTTAACACTCTGTCTCTGTCTCTCTCTGTCTCTTTTCTCTATCTGTCTCTCACTCATTTCTCTCTCTCACCACACATCTCCTCTATTACCTTCACCACTACTGAAAAAATGTCATTCCACTACCACCACTACTATCACTGTTGCCATTCCACATCTACGACTACCATTATTACCACCCTTACCACCACTCCACTACCACCACCACTACTACTGCCACTACTACTACCATTACCTCTCATCTACCACCGTCATTCCATATCCTCTACCACTACCACAACTTCACCACTAATCTCCTTCGAAGCTGAAGCACTTGAGAGAGAGTTGCACTCTAAAGATGATGCTTCAATCTCGTTACCTGGAAGACAAAGTGGTGACAAGGAATGGCGCATGTCAAGATCAGAATTTGGTTCTGACGAGATTTGCTTTCCAAGTTCTTCTTGTTGTCCAGCCCGTAAATGCATTGATGAGCATGTGACAAAGATCTACAATGCATTTTGTCCAATCATTTCTCAGTTTGTCGAGAAATCTTGTTCTAAATCTAGAGCTGTTGAAGTCCTACTGTTTTTTAAACAAATGTTAATCAATCTCAAGAATTCCCCTTTTAGAACGAGGAGAACTTCTATAAACCCTGTTTCAAATGGTGCACAGCATCTTTTCCTTCAGATGCTGCCTTCTTTTGATCAATTGTTTGATGCCCTTTCCCTGAATAGTGAGCTAGATGCCAGTGGAAGGGTTGACATTTATTTGGCTGCTGATCCTGTTAGAACCTCCATAGCATTGCCTGTTTTGTTCCATGCTCTGGATGATGTGATCCATAATGTCAATATGTGCAACAACTTCAATAAAAATTCTCTTTCTTGGCCACTTCAAAAATTAAACAGAATATACTCCGGTTTGGTCCTTGCTAGTGGGGAGGAGCTTTCTTTTGGAATTGTAAGTTGCATTGACCAGTTCATGCTATTAGTTCAATTTTATTGATAATTAATATATGACACGTGTCTTGTGGATTTCTTTATGATCCCATTGTTGATAATGAAATTCTTTTAAAGGCATTGCTGTCAACCAATTTCAGGTCACATCTGCATTTGACGGAACTCGAATGTCAAAGTGGGAAGAACCAAATGGTGCCAGAGGTACTCTGAACCGAATAACATGTTTTATCTCTTATGAGTCATAAATATGCCATGTAACAAAAGAGGGTGGAAATTGAAAATGAATATATATTTGTGTATATATATCATATGTGATAATATTTAAGAAAGCTAGTTTTCACACTATGTCTAGCAATATACTACCTGAGTACACTATCATATTCAGTAGGCTAGCAACGTAATGCCGGAGGTCAAGGAAAATCTGTTGGCTTTCCTCATTATTGTTGATCTGGACTGCATAGGAGGCTACCATGCACATCATATTATGATTGTTTTGGGAAAGATATAGAGAAAGGAAAAGAAATACAAATAGGAAGGATCTTTGAACATTCTTGTTTAACATGGTAGCTCATTTTCTGGCCATACTTTCTAAGCATCCAACCATGAAATTTCAACACTCGGATGCAAAAAACATGATAATCAACAAACATGTCTTCTGAACTTCATTTCCACCTTAGTTCTTATACTCACTGGCTACTGTTATCAAGTAAACTCTTCTGCTCATCCTTTAGGAATCTTCAATGTTGTCATCAAATTACCTGCCACATGCAATCAAAAGGCAACTTGTCATGATTAGCAATGCCTCTATCTTTTCATACCTTGATTTCTCTTTTGTAAGACCTCCATTTGATATAACTGTTTGTTTCTTATGCAGGTGAAGGTTGTTCGAGTCACCAAGAGGGTACGTGAAGCATATTTTGCTCAGTTATACCTCACAAAGGCATATTCCTGTTACAAGCTTGTATTTTGTTTGACTAATATTTTCCATAAAACTTGCTTTAATAGTAATATTTAACTGATAAAGTTTTGTTTTTTTTTTTTAAAAATCTCAGTTGGGTAATGAAACGGAGAGTGTTAGCTTTGATATTCGACCTTCAGATGCCATTAACATTGCAGTAATATGCAAGGTACTTTTGCTCATTTTGAAGATTGTTGCTGCTTTGGTGGATTTTTGTGGTTGTTTATCGTCATGTAGTCCTCTTATCTAACGTAGTTTTAATCACTGCTCTCTCACTAGATAGCATTATATAATGGTGTTGGATAAACATAAATTTTTAAAAATACTTCATTTACGGTTTTATGCGTTTGGCACCTAAACAAACTTGAGCATTCTGTATCTAATGCTGCTGGTCTATGCATTGATATCCATGTTGTCTTGTTTTTCCATATCTTTGTCAGCATTGTTAACAATTCTTAAAATGATCTTTTATATAATTTTTACTGGTGTTTTTCTTGAAATAAATATTGTTAGTGTACTAGTACCAGACTTGTTTCGTGGGGATCCATGGGCAAAGGACAGACCAAAGACTTTATTTGAAGAATGGCTGGCACAACAAACCCCGGAAAGGATTGCAAAAGATACAACCTCGAAAAATAGATGATGGATGAGTTTGTAGCTGCAGGAATCTCAAAGAAGCTTGGTATCATTGGATTCTGCTTTGGAGGTGGCCGACTAATAGATGCGCTTGCCCAGGACGGGGGTGCCTGTTTTGGCATTGGGGTTTCATTCTATGGCACAAGAATTGACCCATATGTCGTTGCTAATATAAAGGTGCCTATATTGTTCATTGTGGGTGACAATGATCCGAGTTGTCCGGCAGTGCCTTGGTATATGATTTTTTGAATGTGAATTTTGATGTAGAGGTGGATGTATTGTATTTTAAAAAATATTAATAATTTGTACTGGGAATGAATTAATAGATGTGGATGTATTGTATTTTGATGTAGATGTGAATTTAATTTTTACAGATGGTTTTTTGGCGTGAAAAAGTGGATATTCTTTATTTTTGTGCGGAGGACATTGTTTTTTTTATAATCTGTTATTATGTTGTCCTTTGTTTTTTTTTTGGATTACCATTGTTCATACAGATAACTACTGGCATGGTACAAATTGCTTTTGGCATATAACATATTACTTTTGGCATTGTATAGATTACCATTTGACATGGTATTGTGGATATTTTTTTTTTCGTGTACGGCAAACATGATTTTTGTATAATCCTCTGTTTTGTATAGAATTATTATTTTAGGTTGGATTATGCTTGATTCATATGAAATTTCTATTATATTTCGAATTTGACGTTAAAAGTTTAATTTCCTTGGATTGTTATTATTTTCGTTATATACAAGGTACAGGTTGCACAGAATAAATACAGGTTGTGGCGAAATCAATATATATGTATAAAAATAAAAATAAAAACTAAAGAAAGTTTTTTACGATTAAACATGTAGTAGCTAAAAAGAAGTGAAGTTGTTGGCGACTGACCAATTCGTAGCCAAAAGGGAATAAAGGCTTCGTCGCGATTAAATATTTGGTAGCCAAAAGAAAGAAAATATTTTTGGTGTCTAAATAATTTGTAGTAAAAAAAAAAAAAGAAGATGAAAAATAAATTTTATTTAGTAATTAAATATTTAGTAGCCCAAAAAATTTGAAGTTTTTGTCTACTAAAAATTTAATCATCAAAAAAACTATCGATATTTTTTACGACTAAACATTTAGTCACCCAAAAAGCTACAATCTTTTGCCTACAAAAAAGTTTGGTTGCTAGCTAAAGGAGTCAATTAGATGTTTGGCTTTTGTCGCCGATAATGGAACAAAGAATTGGCGACTATATATTTTAATCACTAAATAAAACATAGTAGTGATAAAATTTATCTACGACTAAACATTTAGTTGATAAAAGTTCAAAATAAATTTATAAAAAAAATTATGGCGACTAAATGATTAGTCGACGAATGGTGTTTTTTGGCTACTAAAATAACTTTAGTCGACTAAAAATGATTTTTAACGATTAAAAATTTAGTTTTCAAATGTGCAATTTCTTATAGTGTGTAACTAGTTTGAAGATAATTCATAGTGTGAAGATAATTCTAAATGATAATTTTTATACCCATGCTTCATAGTGTGAAGATAATTCTAAATAATAATTTATATATTTTTTGCAAAGTATATATTATTTAAAATTTATTATCATAATTTTGAGGTGTTGGTATAAGAGGCGGTACCCTTTGTTCAATCCATTCAAATCCAATTATACTTGAGTTTGCGTTTGTAGGATAAAATTCATTTAAATTACGCCGAATTTCTCACATAAAATTACATAATTATTTAATGCTAACTGAATTTGTAAATATTTATACACAAGCATCAACATACATCATTATAACCTCACAATTGCTACAATCATCACTAATATTGCTGCAACCATCATCACCGTCGCTGTCACTGTCAGCACCACCACCACCACCATTATGAAGCCACAATTGTTATTACTACCACCTTTATTATCCTTGTCATCGTTATCATAAAACATACCATCATTTCAAGTAGTGAAATTTCATTATCTTCAAATAATGAAATTTAACCTTAATATTTAGGTGAAATTATTAAAAAAGTGAAATTTCTACTAAAGAAATAAAAATTACAAAATTAAAGGCAAAGATGAACTAGCGAGTATATGGAAAACTTACGACTTAAAGAGATAGAAAACAAATGAAAAACTTACGAGTTAAAGAGAGATGTCATCAATGGATTCGTTAGCAAAAAAGTGATTGGCACTATCATATAAATTAGCTAACTATAATTTAATTTTCTTAATTAATTTGTTGTCTAATTAATCGTATAATGTGTGTAACTACCAAAATTTTACATTAATTTGAAATTCCCTCTCAAAATTTGGGACCCTCAAAGTTTTGCCCCTAATCCCTCATACGTTTCTCATGTCTCTTTCTCTTACTCTCTCTCACACGACTACTTCTCATTCTTCCTCCCTCACGGACGATTTTTTTGCTTCATTCCACCGTTGTACTGCCCGAAACCTCCCTCACGGACGATTTTTTTGCTTCATTCCACCGTTGTACTGCCCGAAATTCAAAGTCGACACCGCCGATTCACGAACTTAGAGTATTTCATTCTGACCAGGTAAGTTGATTTCTGTTTATTTCTCTGCATCTTATTCTTTGACCTAATTTCTCACAAATCGACTCCCTCTCTTAGCAATCTCTACCTCACACACCTTCACCGCCCTGTAATCACTATGGCACCATGCCACCGTTGGCACCGTCTCTCTGAATACAGCGGAACCCCATTCCGTCGCCATAGTCCCCACATTCGCACGACCCATCGCTACCATCAGCTAATCCTACCGGTAAACCTTTTCCATTGCTTTTGTTGTCCATCTTCATCCTCTCTTGCTTCCTGCCATCGTGCCCTAATATCTTCCTCCTGCTTTCTTAGCCACCATATTTCGTTCTGAGCATATGTTAATTTTCATCTTTGGTAATTCGGAGAGTATTTTGTGTTGGTACTTCACATTTATGTTTCTTTGATCAATTGCAAATATATGTTTCTGTGTTCTCCTTGCTCACCAAGCTCTCTCTGGACCTATCGACCCACTATAAGAAAATGCACTTTTAGCGACCAGTTTCTCTCTCTCGCTTAACACTCTGTCTCTGTCTCTCTCTGTCTCTTTTCTCTATCTGTCTCTCACTCATTTCTCTCTCTCACCACACATCTCCTCTATTACCTTCACCACTACTGAAAAAATGTCATTCCACTACCACCACTACTATCACTGTTGCCATTCCACATCTACGACTACCATTATTACCACCCTTACCACCACTCCACTACCACCACCACTACTACTGCCACTACTACTACCATTACCTCTCATCTACCACCGTCATTCCATATCCTCTACCACTACCACAACTTCACCACTAATCTCCTTCGTCATTACCTTTTATCCACCACCTTCACCATTACTACCACACCCTCTCTTCTACTACAAAAATTAGTTCCTGATTTATAGTTAAAAAAAAGAAAATGGGCTACAAAAAAAAAAATTCCATTGACCACAAAAAATTAACTTTATTTTAACAGAAAATATTTTTAATTAAAATATTACCCCTACTTCTACCAAATAAAAAAAGAAAAAAATTCAGTAAAATAAAAATGAAGCAAATAAATTTCCAATCTTAGTAACCTAAAAAAAATTGAAAAATTGAAAAATCAAAAAAAAAATCATAAACTACAAAAAAAAAAAGGAGAAAAAATTAACAAAAAAAATTATTTCGTTTTCCCGCTCACAAAAAATTAACTTTATTTTAACAGAAAATATTTTTAATTAAAATATTACCCCTACTTCTACCAAATAAAAAAAGAAAAAAATTCAGTAAAATAAAAATGAAGCAAATAAATTTCCAATCTTAGTAACCTAAAAAAAATTGAAAAATTGAAAAATCAAAAAAAAAATCAAAAACTACAAAAAAAAAAAGGAGAAAAAATTAACAAAAAAAATTATTTCGTTTTCCCGCTCACAAAAAATTAACTTTATTTTAACAGAAAATATTTTTAATTAAAATATTACCCCTACTTCTACCAAATAAAAAAAAACAAATTTTTTCAGTAAAATAAAAATGAAACAAATAAATTTTCAACTTTAGTAACCTAAAAAAAATTGAAAAATAAAAAAAAAATTGAAAAATTAACAAAAAAATTGTATTTCGTTTTCCCGCTCCCCCCCGGGTTTCTCAAATCCCCAACCCTAACCTAACACTCCCTCTCACTCTCCTCTCTCTTTTATCTCTTCTGCCTCCTACGTCGTCGGCTCTTGTGCCGCCACCGGCGACCACCACTGCCGCCGCCACACCTCCTCCCTCACCGCCCTCTCTCTCTTCTCCTATTCTCTTCACCAGTCGTC